CTGGCAAGTGGAGAACTCCTCTAAATCACCTAGGCAACAAGATTTGGTTCAGTTACATTTCACTGATTTTGCCAAGAGGACCTGCAACATACTTGGCATATCTCTGTTAGTGAACCACAAATAATTTAAAACACAGGAGGTTGCTGAATAAGAAAATACAAGAATATTTGACAGCAAAACATAACGAATGCTGTGTGTGGTGGCAAACACTAAGTATAAAATGCAAAGTTTTCAGAGTGTGAGGAGTTATCTCTGAATTCCCATTTGGTGAAACACAACTGCAATGAATACTTATTGCCACCTTATTTAGCAGCATGAACAAAAGGAACTGTTATAAATAAACAACACTATGACAGTTTTGCTGCTGTTAGCTTGACATTCTCATCTGCAGTCAGTCAAACTGAAAGACAAAGTAATCAGGGAAAAGACTAAGTCAAACATCCAAATTACGGAGTTTCTATTTTTGTTTTAACTACCGTCATCACTGATTTGTCCATTACTTCTGTGAGGAAGCTACTGGTGAAATTTGACAGGTGTCAGCATGGCATTTGCATGCTTCCAGATTGAAATGAAGGCTTTAAACGTAAATTTACATGACTCGCTTAATGTTTTCTTAGCATGTCAGCAAAACTTTGAAGTGATATGAAAGGGGTAAAATTTACAAAGAAGAGCAACATACATTTAAGAGGATGCAATTAAGTAATATGCAATACACACGTACATACACACAACAGAGGCAGGTTGTGTGTAAAACTTCATGTAATGTCCTTCTGGTGGCTCTCACTGCAGTACCTCACCTCTATCCTCTGATGTAAGGATGAAACTACTTCTCCAGTCCAACTGTTCTGATAATAGCATGTGACTCACTTCCAACCTACTTGTCCTCAGACCTAGTTTGACAGCCACTTTATTCTTCGGAGCCAGCAAAGCAAAACTTTAAATGTGTTGCTAACTTACACAAAAACCCACAGTGTGTATTTAGTAACCCATCTGCTCTGCAAACAAGAACTCAGGTCAGAGGTGTACTGAACCCTTTGATTTAATCCAAGCAATATGCATGTTTGTAAAATATTTGCAAGGTCAGTATTTGATGAAAACAAGACAGGATGCACATTGCCTAGGTAAGCTCAGAGGCTTGTTGCCCCCATCCTCCCAAAGCTGGCATTTTGCAGGGCAGCACAGCACATGCTCTCAGTGCCTGTGCACAGTCCTCTCTGTCTCTCTCATTCACTTAGGGCTAAATCTTCCCCTCAGGAATGCATTGGGAAGGCTAGAGGAGATACATATCCAGAAGTCTTACTTCAGCATCATTACTGATCATCTTCTGACATGTAATGTCTGTAGCAGGCATAGGTTGGTGCTTGTCAGAGAGGGAAAACATAACTGGAAAATTATATTGTACCATCAGGTTGGCCCACTTAATTCTACTATATAGATCATAATACAGTTTGAGAGGAACCTTCTCCACCAGAAGTTACCTACTGCATGGAAGAGACAAACTTTTCACACTGACTCCATGCAAATGCTTCCCCATGTAATTTCAGCTAAGCTTTGGGATGCCTATGCATGCGTCACATCTGCCCACGTAACACTACTAAGTAAATCCTCAGTACATCCGCCAAGCTCCACACCCAGGCATTCAGCTGGAACACAGTTATCCTCTAAAAACTTCAACAAGAAGCGTGTTTGTAATAGACCACCTTACTGGAGTCATGTAAGCAACCATGCTGGTCACACTCCCAGTGTAAAATGAAGACACTGTGGCTCCATGTGGGTGTCTGAAAATCTTGGAAAAAAAAATGAATTAAAATGTGGTGAAGAAAACTGTGAGATTTAAATCCCAAAGCTATTCAGTTTTGTGATATTTTTCTCTGTACAGTCAGCCTATCAAGAATAGATTTCTCTCTATTGCAAGTTCCTGTGGAATGGAAAGTGCACGCACATCAGAGCACTGGCCATCACAGCTGTCCCTGGCTGACAGTTGTGATTCTGAATGTCTTTCTAAATGAGTTTTCTAAAAGTATATATATATATTACATTGTCATATCACATGTATTTGTTATACTAGAAAGGCTTTTCCTAACCCTGCTGTTTAGGCAAAAAGTTTAGTTTTAGGATCTTAGGTACTGCTTTGGACAAGGATAATGAAGTGAGTCTTTTTAAAAATATAATACAGTGTCATAGCACAAATAAACAGACCATGCCTATGATTTTTCTCTAGGCTCAGGACTGAAGTTTAGGCTGGAATGAAGGAGACACGCTGTGTTTGGGAAAGAAAACAATGCAAGTTCAAAAGGTCTTTTTGACTGATGAGTGAGTTTCTGACTGTTGAACTTTAAGGACCAATTTCTAATGACGCAAAAATATACCCCTGTATAAATCATCAGTTCTGTTCTTTGTGGAAATCTTCCAGCATTTAGGTATTTAGAGAGAGTTTTCTTCCTTTATCATTCTTTGTTCAATGCCTGTATTCAGTCAAGTAGCTTTTTCAGGCTCAAAGAAGGTACTCCAAAAGGATATATTCTAAAGAAGCCTGGAAGTAAGTTCCCAATACAGCTTCACACCTCCCCAGATGCTAGTTTCAAATTAATCATCTGTTCTGGGGACAGCAGATGGAAAATAACGTTCCTGATAAAATGGGTCTAATGAGAGCTGGAGGAACCGTACTGACTGCTAATTTTACAAGAAGTCCTAAAGAGATTTTTGATTGGATAAATGGGGGATATTGACGTTTACTGTCTGCAAAAAAAAATCCTCCCACTTCTCTGATACTGAGGAACTCTGACCAAGCAGATGACTGTCCAATCTGTTTTAATTTTGGCCTCCTCGACTTTAGGATTTGGGAATGACACTTGGCTTTATTTCTCAGTCACAGAAGCGAGGTGACGGCCTGATTTGAGTTCCGTACCACAGCTCCAAATCCTAGCATCTTTCTTCTGAGCTGCCAGAAAGAAGACAGAAAAAGGAGAAAGTACTTCTCACTTTCTGTGATACAAGCCAAAAGGACATTATAGGATCTCTTTTATGGTATCTCCCTCAAGAGAAAGGCACCTGAAGCAGCTCTGCAATCAGTTCCTACAGTAGGTCCTACCTAAACTGCTTTTTCTGGTGCTGTGCTGTTCTCCTCTGACCCCTCATTTTATACCCTTCCATCATCAGCCTTTTTTTGTCCTGTGTTTTACCTGTCCAGTTATACCTTCTTTAGCCCATACTTCTCTCTCTCTCTCTCAGGTCTTCCTCTCTTCCTTCCTCTCTCATACACCTTTCCCAATTTTCTCCTTCACTTATTTTAGGCTTGTCTGTTGCAAAGAAAGTAGAACCTGTCTAGCATACAGTTACGATAAAAACCATGAACTAATTTTCCCTAAAATAGATCAACCCTCTTTATAGATCTCTTAAGTAACTGCATTCCTAGCCATCTCCCTCCCTCCCTCCCTTCTCAGAAGCACAATGCTTCTGCACTCCCCGCTGTCCCCTTTTTCCTGCACCCCCCCAGCACAGGCTGCTCCTGCCATAAGCCATCGTCTTTTCAATAGGAGCAGTATTATTTTTGGTGCAGCAGGAACTTCATCCTGCCCTAGTTCATGCAGTGTACTTTGCCTTCTTTCTTCCTTGCATGATTTGTTGCCGCAGTTTATCATCACACGCGTTCTGCTCCCCTTCTGCTACTGCTTCAAAGCACTCCAGGTTTTTTGATTTGCCTCTCCTACTGCTCCAAGACGCTGAGTGATGCAGAGAACCTCCTACAGCCAGAAAGTAACTGTGATTTTTAGCTATGATGTTTGCTCTAACTATTTAAAGCACACTTAAGAAGACACATAATAAGTAGGTTTGAGGGAAGTGGTAGCAATCCACCCACTACGTTCCTTTTAGCTAACCCTTTAATTAAATATTAAAGATATGGTTCTCAGGAAGATTTAAAATAACCCACTGACAGAAAAAAGAGACAGGTTAAAAAACAGCAGAAAAAGAAATAATTCCCCCTAAAGACTTACCACACCTTCATGCTGGTTTTAACATAATTTCACTGTGCTGATGAGAGAAGAGCTCTTCCAAAAGGAAATAACAAACCTTATGCTTTCCAGTGCTAGATCACTCTCTTTGTTCTCCAGGGAGTCACACTAGGAATTGCAAATTATTTGATGCTTAACTAAACATACTAATTTCCTTTTTCATAAGGGATAGAAAAAAAAAGTTTATAAAAAATTGAGTAAGTAAATTACTTGAAATGCTATTCCTCACTCAAAAGACACACTCTGGTGCTGGATGTACAGAACTGATATGCTGTTTGAGGGGAACGGTATATATATACAGATTATAGCATTGTCTCCCTGTATAAAAGGGTGAGATAAATGACAGCAAGATCTGGGTAGATTTGTGGTACAAAGCATTTGCTTTTATAACTGAGTGAGAGCACACCAGGTGGGCACCACAAATGATCAGAGGAGAATGAGAAGAGACTACTGATGGGAGATTAGAAGTGCAAGAAGTCAGGTATGTCCACAAACCTGAGTGGCTCTGACTTGCATATTCGTTTTCGTGAAGGCTTTGATTATTTTTCTCTGTATCTAGCTGACAAAGCATTGGTAGGTTAACTGAGCAGTGGTTTTGTACTAGTACTGCACGAATACTTGCTCTGCTGCTTCTTCGCTTGTGTTTGAACTCCATTGTCCTTTGTGACTCTTTTGTTCTTCTATGCTGTGTGTAGTTTTAAATCAAACTCCAGACCCCCAAACTCCCTAGAGTATAGTCCCCACTGTTGCTGTAATACAAACAGAAACTGGTAAACCATTTCGATTTGTTCTTGTGTTCGCTATACAATGGTGTTTCCAAACACACACTGCTCTTCTCCTCCAAATCAGTCTTACAATCGATACTGTCCTACTTTCAATTAAAGTATCACAACACATATATCTATATGGTGCTTAGAATCTCACAAAAGAAAACCTGTAACTTTAAATACAAGAGCTGACCAAAATGATTGAATTCCTGAGGCAACAGAAACGATACTGGTGATTTTATTCAGCACGTGTCCAATATGATTTTCCATTCGGAATCCACATTTTTTAATACTTTTCTATACCATTCTTAACATTACCTTCAGCTTTTATGGAGTCCCTTAGAAAGTTGGTTTTTTTTTTTCAATTTGTTTACCAGAAAACTTAAATTTTAATGATTAAATAATAGGACATTTATATACATCAGTGGGTTTTCTCAGATACTGGGCTCTAAGTACATACAATGTCTATTGAGTGAAAATAAAAAAGAAAAATTCCAGTCATGCAAATCATCTTACAAACCATGTTCCATTTGACTTGAAAATTTTTACTGTTACTGGCATATCATTTCAAAATTAAACAGATAAAATTTTAAGGTTGCTTTGTCCATTTCCATTTGTTTGTTTTGCTGTTTTGAAGAACTGACAGGCCACATGCTACTGCAGAAGGTACTGGCAGGGTAATAATTGTTCTGCTACCACCAACCAACCCCTTCGAGCCCTGGTGCGGATGCGTTTTAAAAAACCACCTAACCTTCAGCTAACTGCACTGGTTTATTTCTGAACAGCACATCACAATATCAGCACAGAGAGCACATTGTAACCGGTTGGGTGATTCCACTTAATAATTTTTCAACACTAGGACCTTTCAGCATTTTAATTCTGGTTTCATTTTATGAATTAAAGGTCATATATAGAGCACAAATGAGGTCTAAATTTAGTCACAGCAGACCACAGTTCCACATAAAGACAAATCTTCAAGTTATGTTGACCTGCTAGGAGACAAAGATAAACAGCACAGCAAACATGTACCTGCAATGCACTGCTTCCCTATTAAATATTAACTGTTTCATTTACATTTAAATGAACTGAGCAGTAATGGATAGACTTTCCAGTACTGCCTTGGTGCTGCTGTCATGGAAAGAAGCTGAAGACAATGTGGGCTGTATGGGGGCACATGACGCAATTTCAGCATCCGCTCAAGTGACTTCAATGATGACCATTCTCCAGTCTTGAAACATAATCCTACACAGCAATTTTTTTTTCTCTCCCTCTGTAAACACATCTGTTCATAAATAACTTAGATGTCTCCTTGACATTCATGGTATGTAACTGAAGCTGAAGTAGAAAAGGATGGGCGGTGTACAGCACTGAGGAGATGTCACAGTACTTTTTTTCAGCATTTTTGTCAAGTGCAGGTTGCTAACATCAGCCATCAGAGACGGGCGGGGTGACCCACCCATATTTTTCATGGGTCTTCACCAAACTCTTAAATGTTGCTTCAGCTTCCTTTCGACTGAATGACTTTTTTGATTTGCCAGCTTTTCTGCAGATACGGCCCTGCGCCAAACAAAAAAGAAAACCTTCATTAAAGACGTGAACACGCATCTGGAAACCACAGCTCAACTTTTCAATGCATCAGGCCAAGAGGCATTCACTTACGGGTACCAGAAAGCAGAGTTCCCAAACGCGAGCAGACAAATGCATTATTAGAGATGATTAAAAATTATATTCAGTGAAGGGGAAAATTAAAAAAAAAAAAAAAAAGAAGAAAAAAAGACAGCTGCTGGACTACTTCTTCCCGGCGAGCCCCTGTGCTGGCGTGCTGCCCTGCATGCAGCAACCGGCGGCGGCTGCTGTGGCCATGCCACGGGGCTCGCCTCCCTCTCTGCTGCACTGGGACCTCTGCCATTAAGTATTTGGCATGAGGACCCCCATGCCCACCCTGCATGGCCGGGGGGAACTTCCGTGCAGGCAGGGACTGCGAGGCACACACCGCTACTGCACAGAACTGGTGCCTTGGCATCTCAGGGCTGCCCGTATTCGCCCCTCGCTGCCAACGCACAGTTGTCACTAAAAATTACATCCATCCTACGAAACACACTCCATTCTTCTTCCTCCAATCTGACCCGTGAGAAATGAACAGCAGAAGTGCCTTAAACCAACTTGCTTCCAACTTACATCAAAAATTCTGATTTGTTTGTTACCCCTTCATGACAAGTTCGACAATAAATGAAAATATATCCATTTACATACACTGCATTTTTATTATTCTGCAATTAGATATTACTTCTAAATGCACAGCAGTATAAAATTTCAAATCCTTGTTTGACAATAGAGACTTTTACTGAGTTATTAACAGCTTACCTTATTTTTCATATTGGTCTATGTCAATTACCAACTGAGATACAAGAAAGAATTATAGCTGCAGATTAATACCACTCTACAAAAGTAAATATCTTAAAATAAATAAAATTAAATAAATATCTTGAAAGTATTTATGCTTATTGGATTTATCACAAAATAGAAGTTTATTAAACTCACTGGTCTAATAATTTTAGTAATTGTTTGACAGACTGCACCGAAAGCCTTTTTAATAATGAATGGTATTTGATGAGCAGATATCACATTACAGTGTTATAATTATTAAGAACCAAGTTAGCATGTTGTCATTTTTTTCCATTCTATAGCTCAAAATGATGCATTGGGGGGCATCTTTTGCCTCTCTGATTTTACTGTCAAATTGGAATTTAACCCAAAAATTCTTCATTTGCAATTGCATGCAACAAATACTGAGAAAATAATCAGGTATATAGAGGGAAAAAAAAGGGGGAAAATGGGAAAAAAGAAAACAAAATCTATCTTTGGAGCATCAAAGTTATTTTTACAGACTAAAATGAGTAAGATAAGTCTGCATTGTGGACAAACTCTTTCTTTCTAGAAAGCTGTCACAATATTACAGAGGCTCTTTTGTGTTCAGTGCCGCTTCTATTATAACAAAACTATGGATACGTGAGAGAAAAAAGGCTGTTTCCTGCTCCTGTTTTAACAAATCATTTTTCAGTGCAGTTTGAGTTCTCCTTTAGAGCCTACCTTAACCAAAGATTAGGAACAGCCTCTAATTCCCACCTCAATTGATTCACAGTCAATTTATACCCACCCAGTTTTCTCAAAAATAGCTATTTTACCTGTCGATGCTTTTTCTCACCTTTCTCTCTATTTCCCATTTACAGACTAGAAATGTATTTTCTCTTTGATAGACTAAACAGCGAGACACTTTCTCCATCCCATACTCATTTGGCAATTAATATGTCCCAAATAAGGATGATCTGAATGGTTCTCAATTTAACCCCAACCATAAATTTTCTTAGAAAATGCTCATTTTTAGTGGTGACAAATGGAATAATTAAATAAGACTGAGTAACGTATTTTTTAAATCTTACTGAATAATTATCATACATAATTATATAATGTATAATTATCAATCATAATTGATAATTATGATTGATACTGCAGAAAGTATTTTTGTTGTTACAAAACACATTTTGTATTTTCTTCCCAATCTGAGGTTTTGCTGGAAGCACACTTAGAGAAACATAGGAAAAGATAAAGTGCAACAGAAGACTAAATCAGCACAGGAAATGCTGTCCTCAAAATCTCAACAAAGAAATACTTTTGAAAGTAAATATAAACTTACTCTACTAAATTTCTGGATCAGATCCATTTCCCATCTCCTATGTTTTACACATTATTAATCATTTAAAGTTCTGATGCCTTTCTGAATTATGTGCATAGCACCTAGGACAGTATGATCTACATATTCCCCAGCTTTAACAAAGTATTAATATTAAGCTGTACCTAGAAAAGGAATCTTTGCATTGTGAACAGCTATTGCTCATGTTTGGTGTCAGCTACGTACAGCTTTCAAAGCAGGACAGTAAGAATTCTCTGGCGTTGCAATAATGTGGGGAATATCATATTATCTAAAATGTTACTGGAGCCATGGCAGATGAAATGAGCATTGTTTCATGAGTTTATTCTGATACTTTTTTGTTGTTAATGCAACGGATCATTAAACCCGCTTCCATTCTGGTACCATATGCAGGTTGTATGTAAACCGCACCATCAAAGACCAGCTAATTCTACCCTGCTGTAATCCATGTATTTCTATGTTTATACAGAAACTATGGGTGGCATGGTCAGCCCTGTCTCTTATTAACCAATATCCTACCAGCTGTTTATAATTTGGATAATATTTAACCTCCTGGACTGAAAGTTTCCCTATTTGGTGCCTCAAGTAAACCTGGGGTAAAAAGAAAGAAGTGTGGAATTTCAGCTGACAGAATTCAGATGCTGTTGAGTCTATACTTGGGTGGTATCTACTCTCTTACTGAATTTTAGCTTTTCGCCATTCCTACAAAACTCTTTAAGTAAAAAAATGTCATTTTGGATGCAATTATAAAAGAAAGTGTCAAACCTTTTAACAGGCACCATTACCAGCTCTGACTACAGTTTATTTTCAGACTGCTACTTAAATATGCAGTCATTTTAACTCAGGTCAGGAGCCTGCGAGCTGCTGCATTCTGCAAACACAATAACAATGGTAAATACAGTATGTAAATATAGTGCTGGCCACAGCTCTGTTGCAGACAACTGCATTTTGACCAATGCCCAAACCTCATGCGTCACTACTGTCGGGGTAAGGAATACAGATAATTTTCACAGCCAATGTTTTGATGTGTCCAGCGCCATATCAAGGAAAGATAGCAAAATGATATCGGAACAAGATCAAAACATTCCACAAGAGATTAAAAACAACAGAGAAAACCTAAGAAAGCCTTTCATAAAGATATCAATGTCGACTTCAGCTCTGAGAAGTCGCACCAGGAGCTTATTTAAATACTTGCAATACTTCAGGCACTCACAGAGTGCCTTTCATAAAGGAATAACTGAAAACCTAATTAAAGAGTTGGAGAGAACATTTCAGATTTTGCCATCTGCTGTGACTTCGTGTACTTTTCAAGATATAATTTTAACAAGCTAGAAACATATGAAAGGTGAAAGCAATGCCACAGCATCCAACTGGTTTATGCAGCCGTGCTGAAATGCAGGGGGACGTGTGCTGTGCTCAGCCTCCTCCCTCGCTCATGCTCTTGCTGCGCCCAGTCTGTGTGGCACTGTGAGCAATCGCATGCCACTCATCCAGGCTTTGCCCAAACTAATGAGCTTGAACAAACAGCTGATAAGGATCTAGTCTATAACCCTGATAATAGCGGGCAGAAAGACCTCCTGGAACACAGTCTGCTGTGGGCAGCCTTCTCAGGATCCTGATCATACCAAGAGACCAACCGCTCCCTCCTGCCATGTTCAGCAAAAGACCCAATGTGAATCTCACATATGATTTGTCCCTCTGTCCTGGTTTCAGTTGCAATACAGTTCATCTTCTTTCTAGCAGAAGTAGTGGTTTGGATTTAGTATGAGAATAACGTTGATAACATACTGATGTTTAGTTGATGTTTTAGTTGATGCTGAGTCAAGGGCTTTTCAGTGCCTTGTGCTCAACCAGTGAGCAGGTGCACAAGAAGCTGGGAGGGAGCATGGCCAAGTAGGGGATGGGGTAAGCAAGTGGCTGTGTGGCACTTGGTTGCCTGCTGCGGTTAAACCACAACACATCTACATATATGGACCACTGTGGGCAAATCTGGGAGCTTTTCTATTTCTAAGTGATGCTGCAGTAGTCTCTACATTTTTGCACAATCACGAACACATCTCCCCTTCAGAACACTCTGTGGCACTGAAGCACATCCACAAAAATATTCAACTCAACATCCAATAGCTCTTTAAAGTCTATCAGTGCCATTATCAGCAACATGCCATGTTGATTCTTCCCCAACACCGCCAGGTCACAAGGCAGTCCGAAGATAGAGTTAAGTCCTGTACAGAGATACCAAATACGAAACCTGAAACTCTCGAGCCCTGTAATCCCACTACGACCACGTATCTGCCCATGTCTGGCCTGTGTGTCATAAAAAACAGTCCTGACATTTCTACTGGTCTTTCCAGAGTATGGACGGCCTCAGGAGGATTTCTTTGGCAGTAACAAAGGGATTTTGCTCTCTTGTCAAATCAAAGATAGTAGCTCCCAGACCAAAACCCAACAATTTTAGCACAGCACACAGCACCAGGTGTGCTTCCATGCGTGTCCTGTTGGCACTACCTGGAAGGACAGGACTATATAATGGAAGTCAGCCTTTCACAGGATAATACAATCACCAAAGTGCTGGCTGGAAGGAGCCTATGGTGGTCTCTAAGTCCACCTTAGACACTTGGAGCTGAACTGCCAACACAGGTCAGCTGTGGCAGTGCACAGTCAGGTCCTGAACCCTTTCAGGTTGTGTTCAATCCTCTCCTCATGCCACTCCCTGTTATACTAGGTCCCAAATTTTCAGAGATTTATTGTACACAGCTATCAGCCCTTACAGGACTGATGTTATCACGGAAACCACATAAGCCCCTGTGCTACGTCTCTCTCAGATGTCACAGCAACCCTTTAGTCAGAT